CGGCCATTTTGGAACCGCTGATCAGCTGTGTGAAAATGGGGCCTTTGGGAGGACCGTCCTCCCAAAGCCCCCATTTTCACACAGCCAGCCGAAGCGCTTCGGAACGACGGCGGGGGAGCCCTCCCCCGTGGTTGCTCCCAAGCCCCCGCCAGGGGCCTATGGGGAAAAATCGCAAAGCGATTTTTCCCCATAGGGAACATTGCAATGAGATCGCTTTTGCGATCGCAAAAAACGAATCGCTATGCGGATTCATCGTTAAACGGGGCACTCGTTATGCGAGGCACCACTGTATATGAATGAATTTATTTATTATGGTCAGGTGACCAGCTCGTAAAACATATTTTTGACTAAAATATACAAAATGCAGTTTAAAAATGTACAACCATTTCATAAAACATGATGCTAAAATATACAAAATGCAGTTTTAAAATATAAAATCAGTTCATAAAACATTTTATGTGGTTAAAATACACAAAATGCAATTTTAAAAGGTGTACAGCCAGTTCATAAAATATATTATACGGTATGGTTAAAATATGAATGTTTCCTCCCTTTGGTTGGGGCCACAACATTTCTCTATGCTTGACATTAAACCACCCTCATGTTAAAACCAGTCGACCTGTGAACTCAGGAGACTATAAGGGAGTGCTGTGTCATTGCTGCTACACAACATTTTGCTGCAGAGCATGAAATAAAGGGGTCTTGATAAGAAAGAAGTAGCCTGATGTAAAATTCATTAGGTCTCCCTGGATATCTGAGAATGATTCGGCTCAAGAGGTTAGTGCGTAGATCTTGATAAAAAAAGACAGTACAGTAAGACATGACCTACAGTTTCCACTTGGTCATCATTACATAGACATAGGCAATCCGAAATAGGTATATGTTGAAGTCTTCCTTCCATGAGTTAGAAGGTAAAACATTAAGTCTCGCTAATGTAAAGGCTCTTCTGGTCTTTGTTGACATTGTGCTCTTCAGATATGAAGATATTTTGCTTAATGTAGTAAATTGCTCTAGAATAGGCCCGCTGAATCTTTTGGGATTTAGTGAGCCAACTCCTCTGTAATTCCATTGAATGACATATGCATAATCTATCTGCATAGCAACTTACTATGGTAAAGTAAGGTACAGTTAGAATACACCTACTTGAATCCAGTGGAAGAGTGACGCACCAAATCCCATTGATTCACTGGGCCTAATGTGATTTAGCAAATGAAGCAATAGGATTTGGCTATTGGGATTTACTTTTGTGTAAATCTGCATTGGTTAGTACTATGAACTGTATGGTTGTTGTAGGTTTTCCGGGTTGTTTGGCTGTGTTTTGGAGGTTTTCCTTGCTAGCATTTCGCCAGTCTTTGTGGCCAGCATCTTCAGAGGACAGGAGTTAGAACTCTGTGTTCTGGTGTAGTGTGTGGGATAGTTGAGTATTTGTAGCTGTGGGATCAGCTTTTTGTCCTTTTCAGGAGATTGAATGATTATGGTGTGCAGTCAAGCTCCCAATCTCCTGAAAAGGACAAAAAGCTGATCCCACAGCTACAAATACAGTGGTGCCCCGCATAGCGATGATAATCCGTTCCGGAAAAATCGTCGCTATACAAAACAAAAAAGCCCATAGGAGTGCATTAAAACACGTCTAATGCATTCCTATGGGCAAAAAACTCACAGTTCTGTGAAAATCCTCCATACGGCCGCCATTTTCGCTGCCCGGTAAGTGAGGAATGGGTGCAAAAACACAGCGGGCGGCAATTTTTTTACCCGGCGGCCATTTTGGAACAGCCGATCAGCTGTTAGAAAAAACATCGCTATGCGAAAATTGGTAAGCGAAACTGCTTACCGATCATCGCAAAGCAATTTTTCGCTATCTAAAACATCACAATGCGATCGCTTTTGTGATCGCAAAAACTTAATCGCTATGCGGATTCATCGTTAAACGAAGCACTCGTTATGCGGGGCACCACTGTACTCAACTATCCCACACACTATACCAGAACACAGAGTTCTAACTCCTGTCCTCTGAGGATGCCAGCCACAGAAAAACCTCCAGAACACAGCCAAACAGCCTGAAAAACAACCATCGGATTCCGGCCATGAAAGCCTTTGAGAATATGAACTGCAGTCTAGTGAATACTTTTTTGAGAATAAGCCTCATTGAGCATTAAAGCCGCTGCCTTGACGCATGTGCAGAGCACAGAATATTAAATAAATTAGTACAATGGTGGATTTTTCATTATTTACTTAGCCTGTTAGGGCAAGGTTAACGTAAGGAAGTGTATTCAGATTCAGAAATATCCGGAGTTCCCTGAATAATGCCATAGATGGTTTCATATATGTTTGAATCCAAATTTGATAGATCCAAATATCTGTAATAATATTTCCTAATATTTGGAGTCCCATCTACTCCTATAGATTAGAAAGCAAAAGGCTAAGTTTCTGCTTGCTAGAGAAAGACATAAACGTTGGGCATGATTTCTTGAGAAATTAAATTTAAACAAACTCTGGCACCAAGGATAGAGGGGGCAGGGAACTGTGTCTCTTGACTGAGACTGTCAATGGGCAATTGGGGTGAGAGCAGTACAGTACATGTAAATGATGTCAGTCTGCACCACTGACATCTAGAAGCAGGCCCAGACACCAAAACCCAAAGGTAGTTTTTCACATTGGTTTGTTCCAACGGAAAGTTGGGCACAGCTGCTTATAAATCTCCAGACTAGGATACTGGGACAGGTTGAAGGAAGCAGGAAAACAGTAGGCCAAATATGATATGGACTCCCTTCCTAAAGGAAGCCACCGACTTGTGTCTACAAGAGCTGAAGAGGGCTATTGAGGTCAGGACTTTTTTGAGATCGCTCATACATAGGGCCGTGATAAATCAGAAGTGACCTGACAGGGTGTAGTAAGAGCAACAACAACAGTGAACTAAACTGTTAACCCTTTTCTACTGACTTTCCAAGTAATAGGAAGTAAAAGCTTTTTTTTAAATTAGGAAATTGTTACATTGAATTGATCTCTGGTTTCTATTTGGGCTTTTTCTTCAGTAGACATATATATAATTCAACTTCACTTTCTACACAAAGTGTGTTGTGTAAATGACAAGACTGGTCTAAGTTGCATCTAGCTTTACACATTTTATGGCCATTCCCTTAGCACCATTCCTTATCGCAGGATTGTGGTTCACAAAACTCTTACCAAAGAAGAATTTGGCCTCTTGTTTGAAAAGTTTCCCTACTTCTTTATTTTGCTCTCCTTCAATGCTTCCTTCAATGGACAAACCATTTCACTGCTTAATGTTCTTGTACTAATTTCTTTTTGGCAGAAATTCTAAATGGAGGTGTAAATATTGGCAACAACCCTTATCTCTGCAACATGGACAATGTTTTGTGGGACGACATTGTTGATACAACTAATGGCAAAGGTTTTGTGCTGTTTAATACTGCGGAAAGAACTTTGTCAAGGACTGACCATAAGTCTTGTAAGTATAATAGAGAAAAATAAAATATTCAAGATGCTTCAACAGTGTTGTTAAAATATCGTCAGCCCATTGGATAATTTCTTAAATTAGAACAGTCACAAAGGAATAGTACGTATTTTATTTCAGCATCTTCCTAAAAACAGGAGTTTGACCCAATAATAGTATGATAATTATGGATTTCCTTCAAATATGACCAGTTTTAACTACCAAACTGCAAATGACAATTTACACACATACCATGCAATATACAGTATTCATGATGCATATATGAAGGACTAATTGACACATTCCCTAAAACAGTACATCTAAGGGGTTCAAAAATGTGTGGCATGAATATAACAAGCATGTACAGTGGTGCCTCGAATAGCGAGTGCTCCAATTAACGAAGAAATCGAATAACGATGTGTTTTTCAGGGCATTTTTACGTTTCTATTAGCGATGGCCCCTATGGGCGATTTTCGGTTAGTGGTGGTTGGGGCGGTGGTGGGGGCGGGGGAAGGGAAAGGTCCCTGGCACGGCCGTGCGCCTGGCTCCCCTTCTCCCAATCCACCTCCTCCTCTTCCTCCAAGGAGGCGGCAGGCGCTCAGCCCCAGGCTGGCGGTGGGGGAAGGGAAGGGGCCCTGGCACGGCCGTGCGCCTGGCTCCCCTTCTCCCGATCCACCTCTTCCTCTGAGGAGGAGGCGGGCGCTTAGCCCCGGGCCGGTGGTGAGCGGCACTTCGGCTGGCTCGCTCCTCCTGGGGTGGTGGTGAGCGGTGGCCACCCATCTCCCGGCGGCCCGGCCGGGCCTCCTCCGGCTCCGGCTCCTCCTGGCAGCGCTGGGGGTCGAGGGAGGAGGACAGAGGGACCCACCAGGCGCCCCCCGGCAGGCAGGGACGGGCAGGCGGCCGCGACACTCCTTCTGGGCTGGCTGGCTGGCTTCCTCCTCCTTCCTCGCTCCCGCGCTAGCTGGCTTTGTTCTTATTTTTTAATTTTTGTTCCCCCATTGAGATGCATTGAATAGGTTTCAATGCATTTCAATGGGGCAACCACGTTTTGATTAGCGATGTTTCCCATGGAGATTTTTGAATAGCGACGGCAATTCGTTCCAATTGGAACGGATTAGCCGGCTTTCAATGCATTTAATGGGAAACCGCGTTTTGAATAGCGAAGAAATCAAATAGCGATGTTTTTTGCGGAACTCATTAACATCGCTATTCGAGGCACCACTGTATTTTCAAACATATATGTGCCGAACAGCAGATGCTGGTTCTCTTTCAACTATACATTTTACAGAAGTGCTTCATATGTTACCCATTTGTGCTTAAATTGTTTCTTAATATAAAAGTTTAATTGTATCATGAAAGTATTTGCCTAGCATTCTTAAGTTATAAGTATGATAACATAAGCTATTTGCAACAATTGCAGATGAATTACCCAAACCTTTTATTGCTTCTTTTAGTTCATGTTTATCAGTCATTCCAGAATTGTCTCTACCATATGTGCAAAATACATTCTGTCATTCAAAGATGCAATTCCAGACTTCTGCAAAGTCACTGACATCCATGTCACCTTTGTTATATTTGTCAAACAAGGATAAGAGGAATCTCACTGTTGTTGGATGAAATGGTATCCACATTCCATTGGAGAATGCATGCTACAACTTACTGTCCAGTATGATCCCACTGCAGTCCTTATCAACATTTTGAAAAACTCCCCACAAAAAGTTGAGGCTGGGCATTTGCATTGCCACCATTGTCTAGACTTACTCCAGGAGCAAGATACATAGGGAAGGAAAAGAAACAATCACACATCCGTCTGCTAGCTCAGAAGGCTCTTCTTATAATAACCTATTCTAAATTCCAGTTAGAATTGCAGCCAGAGATGAAAAGAATAACGGCTGCTTTTTCCATTTCCCCTGCTTGAAGACACAAAAACTTACTGGCAGACACACATTCCTTTGACAGAACTCCTCAGTTTCTGGAACTGGCAGGAATGAATCCACACCTTTATGCTGCTTTTATTAATACAAAGCCTGAAACAGTTGGAACAGTGTAGTTTGTAATTCAGTACATACTAGATTTTGTCCAATCATTTTGAAAACCTATCCCTCATTCTACCCTTATAGCAGAAACTGTTGCTAAACAATCTTTTACTGGTTTGGAGGGGCATTACTAAGGACGAGGCCACCTTTAACTATGTGCTTACAAAAGGCGGGGAGAGATGTCTGCTGGTCATTTCGCAGATAATCTGAAAACCTGTTGCTTCTGTTACAGTATGTAAGGCGGATGACAGCATCAGCCATGGCTATTTTTCAGGAACAAAACATTTGTTACTTATCCTCTGAAGATCCTGAGGCTCCCATGGAATCCCATAGAATCCCTTTCATTGACAAGAAGCCATTGGGAGAACAGGAAAGGAAACTCTTTAATTGCCAAAAATCAGCACCACCAGTAAATGCCCAAAATAGATTATGGTCATACATTATCATCCATACCACCACTGCAGCTCACCCGATGCTGGTGGTGGAACAAGCAGGTCCCCTTTTCTCTCTATTTTTCAAAATATTCTGCAGAGGTTACTGAACATAATGGAGCGTCTCCGCTCAGCATGTCCAAAATGTCTATAAAACTTCTGACAGAAAGAAAGGAGACCTGTTGGTTTTCATCTTCCGGTTGTCTGATTAGTCTCTCTTATTATCATGTGTTAATGACAGCAGCAACAGAATCTTACAGTCTTTTCTTGATTTAACTTTTATAGAAGGAACGTTGTGATGGGGATTAGAGCAACACAAAGGTTAGGTCTCATGTGCCACCATCATTGGCCAGAGTGTCTCTCAGCCAATAGACAATAGTCATTGGCCAGAGTGTCTCTCGGCCAATAGACATGGAAGAAAACACCACTCCCATTGCTCAGGCTGTATGGCATTTTCCCTGTTCAATGGCTTCCCATGCCCTTACATATCCAATGCAGACTCCATGTCCTTATCATTAAATCACTGTCCAGTTTTCCCTAACCATACCTTTAATTCTTCTTTCTTACTCTCTGCTTCTTCACTACCTCACTCCTCCATCTCTACAGCACTTACTTCCCCTAAGGGTTCTTCCTGTTATCACAACTCGGCTTGTTCTCCCTTGCTACTTCTTACATATGAAATATCTCTCTGGTTATCTGGATGGGATCATAATTTTGTTTGAACTTAAAAAGTATAGGGAAAACTATGTGCTATAGAAAACACATCAGTGGAACCTGAAATTATGTTAGTGTTCCAAAGTTGTGATTTCCACAGATCTTTATGACTGAGCGACTGTGATTGCAAAGGAAGACTGCGTTACCTCCTGAAAGACTAGTCATGAAACCAGTTTTCAAACTACAGGACGTTGACAATCGAGAGCTTTTCAGCACATCATGCACTATCTGTAATATATAGCTAACAGAATAAACCATGATTTTCCAAGGTAGAATGACATGGGAAACCGTGGGCTATTCAGAACCCAGTGTGGAAGGCTCAGTCTCCAGTCTTTGCTTATTAAAAGGAGAAGGGAGCATATGAGCCACAAACCTTGCCACTGTGCAAACTCACCATGCTTGCCAAAACATACATATCAGAGAACAGTACCCAAACATGCACACACACACACATGAGAATAATATTTTAATCTACTGTGTTACCTTTTCCTGTTATAAACAAATAACCTAAAATAGATTATACTGACTCAATACATAAACATCTTGTTTGGGATATTTTGCTTATAATAATTTTTAATTATGTGCCATCAAGTCAATTATGATTCATGTCAACCTTTTCCAGGATTTTCTAGGTAGAGAATGCACACAAGTGGTTTACCATTCCCTTTTTCTGGGGGATGCTTTGGGACTGTGCAGCTTGCCCATGGCTATGGAGGCTGGCTCTTCTCCCTACAGGCGCAGGGTTGCCCAACATCTGGCTCTGCAGCCAGCTACCCAAACCACTGAGCTATCCAGCCACTTTTTTATAATAGGAGAAGGCAAAACAATAATAAAAATTACAATTCTCCATTATATGTATCTGAGTCCAGTCTTCTTGTATTTTTGGCTGTGCCTGAAAGAACACAGGTTATTTTAAATACATACCGAACAGCAGCAATGAAATTAGTGTTCTTTGTAGCTGTTTTTAGAAATACATATAAAATGGGCTTCTTATATTTCTTTGGACAAAAAAACTGCAAAAAAAATTAACATGATATGTTTTCATTGGGGAAAAGGCAGACTTCATTCATGTTTTGGGTTGATACTTGTAGGCACTCTTAAGAATTCATTTACAACTTGGGGAGGAATATACATTTTAACTCCTTTTCTATGTTATTTAACAATGATCTAGAACAGAATTGTTTACTGTGATATCAGTGTTTGGTTGAAGCATGTTGGTGATGATATTGTCCTTTAGATCCACTCAGACATTTGAAACACTTACCCAATAGTGCTTATCCAATAATCTACTTTACGTTTAGCCTAAAAACACCATGAAATAATTTATGTTCATGGAAACACGTTGTAAATGAGTTTTTTTCTTATTGTTACTCCTACTCTTTTCTAGGCCCTGTGTGTCATCCCAATTGCACAAGAGGGCACTGCTGGGCACCTGGCCTAGAGAATTGCCAAACAAGTGAGTACCGTATATAAATTGATTTCCCTTAAAAATATATGTATGAACTATAGTTGTCACAATTATGTGAGCATAAATTCTATCAATGTCATCATCCTGTGACTTTACACTTTAATTTAATTTAACTGAAAGCTAAATCCATTTTGATTTGGAACTTGAAGACGCGGGGGAGCTTTAATATCAGAAAGTTGCTGTTGGATCGCTAGCAGCTGTCCCAATCCTGCTGACAGGATTCTACTAAGAAAAGCTCCCCAGACCGTCCAGAAACTCCCAAAGGCTTTCCCAGTCAAAAGGAATTCTTAGGGAGCCTCAAAACCACAAGGGAACAGGAATAGAATGCTAAATTAAATTAAATTAAATTAAATTGTAACATCACAGGCTGATGTTCTCTTTAAATTAATGCCCACAACAGGATTTCAACCAATTAATAATATTACAATAACCCTGCATGGTATTTCAGAATATGGCAATCTGTTCTCTTATATCATATTGACTAGCGAACCAAACATATATCTTATTGGGAATTAAGACAGACAGACAGACAGACAGACAGACAGACAGACAGATAGATAGATAGATGCACTTCAGTTCCAATCAGGAGGGGTAAGTATAATGCTTGACTCTCCCTTAACTGAGGTTAAGAAATCAGTTGTGGATTATAAATCCCTTTCTTGCAGCCCCGTCTTCCCATATTAAATGCCTAAGTGTACATCAGCGCTTACATTGGCCACAGTTAAAGCATTCCTATTTAGGTGGGATTTGAAGCAAATTGTGCTTTCAGATCTATTACCTATAGTAAGCTATAGTTAGGTTACCATATTCAGGTGGCTAAAACTGGAATTTAGACATGCCGTTTAGACCATCAGCTGGCTGGGATTCCAAGCTTTCATTAAAACAAGAAGACAACAGCAAGTCTCTTGTCTTTGTAGAAGGCAAAATAAATACTCACTATTTTGGTTAACTGTTTTGTGAGAAATCCGCATGCACATATCGCAAGTGTAGGATGGCTTAACCTTGGCTGATTGGCAGACAGTTGAAATCTGTTCTGCAACATGACATGCTGCCGTACATACATAAAAAGCAAAGAAAACATTGGAATAGATGCTGCTTGTTAGATTATTAGGAGCTGTAGCCCATAAAAAGAACATTTGCAATTGCTGATGTTATGCATCTTCCTTGCCTGATGAGAGTATGCGTTACATAGGTAGACTTACGTAATGATGAAAAGTGGAATATGGGAAAGATGGGCAAGTTAGGATATTTCTAGTTGCAGTAAGGTGTTCAGTCTATATTCTTGAAGGAAATAACACCTTGTTTTCCCCATGTTTGCTCTCACTTCCCCCTGCAAATTTCCCTGTAAATCAGATGACAGTGTGTCATTTGTGGGTGATTCCTCTCGTGGATTTATAGAGGCTATTGTTTGCCATCCATAAAAACTGTTGACAAAAATCTCATGAGAGAAGCTCCTATGTGCACCAAAATGTAAATATTTCTTTATGTATATGCAGCATCTCCCCACTTTTCATAAAAATAACATTATAAGACAGATTTTTCTGAGAGGTACTGCTAGGCCCAAGAACATCAAGTAAACTTTGTAACTGAACAAGGATTTGAACTTGAATCTCTTAGTTCTAAGTCCAGTCCTTTAGCCATTCCACTATACAGGCTTTCTCAGATCAGTTATTACTAAGGGAATTGTATTGAAATACAGTAGTAGAAAAGCAGTAAACAAGTAATGCATCCAATTTATAAAGTATGCATGATATGCAAATAGGTTGTTTGATTTGTGTGATATGCAAATAGGTTGTGCAGATTTGGAGAACTAAAATATGGCAGCCACACATATTATCACAGTGCATCCTATTTACCTTACATTTTCTACCTAAATCTCTTTGAAACCTACTTTTCACTGGATAATTTTGTGTCCAAATAGGTAAAGGTAAAGGTTCCCCTTGACATTTAGTCCAGTCATATCTGACTCTAGGGCACAGCACTCATCCCCGTCTGCAAGCCGTAGAGCCAGTGTTTGTCCATAGACAGTTTCTGTGGTCACGTGGCCAGTGTGACTAGACACAGAATGCCATTACCTTCCCATCATGGTGGTACCTATTTATCTACTTGCATTTACATGCTTTTGAACTGCTAGGTTGGCAGGAACTGGGACAAGCGACGGGAGCTCACTCACTATTGTGTCCAAATAGTGCTCTACAAAAACAAAACACATCTTTTGTTTTAAAAAAATACTGATTATTGGTATGTTGTACATGTACAGTCGTGCCCCGCTTTACGATTTCCCCGTTTAATGACGAATCTGCTTGACGGTGAGGTTTTTATGATCACTTTTGCGATTGCAAAATGATGGTTTGAATGGGGTTTTTTCCGCTTTGCGATGATCGGTTCCCTGCTGCGGAACTGATTTTCGCTTTACGACGATCAAAAACAGCTATCGGCGGGTTTTAAAATGGCCGCCGGCTGAAGAAAATGGCCCCCTACTGTGCTTAGGGACGGATTCCTCACTGCACAGGCACCGAAAATGGCCGCCCCTATGGAGGACCTTCACTGGACAGTGAGTTTTCAGCCCATTGGAACGCATTGAACGCATTTCAATGGGCTTTTTATTTCACTTTACGACGTTTTCGCTCTACAGCGATTTCGCTGGAACAAATTAATGTCATAAAGCGGAGCACCACTGTACTCCCCTTCCATGATGCTGAGAAAGACCTATTTCATCACTGCCATTCCTATATGCATCCTTTGTTGTAACAATGATTGTTTCTTTGTTTTCTTGCTCATTCATTTATTTTGTCTTTTCAGTAACAAAGATTGACTGTGCGGCACAGTGTTCAGGCCGGTGTAAAGGGACATTGCCAAGTGATTGCTGCCATACTCAGTGTGCAGCAGGATGTACTGGCCCTAGAGAAAGTGATTGCTTGGTAAGAAGGCCACAGAAACATTCATAGCATTCTCTCAGAACTATACAGCTGATTTTTTTAAAAAAGCAATTCAATTGCAATGCATAGATTTTGAATGGGTTGTTGCACTGCATCTACTGCAAAGAAACCCCAAAGAGAAATACTACATTTGCTACAGATGTAATCTTCAGTTAAATTGGAAAAATATTTTAAAATTGCGAAATATCTATCAAGATCTGTTCTTCTATTTTTCCTTGTTAGCCAGCTCATTTTATTCTTGTTTGGGATAGTCAGACAAGATTTATGTTTTTGCAAATCCTTTGAACTGGCATATAATATTTATTGACCTTTTTTTTTCAAAAAGAAAAAAGAAATTGTTCTCCAGATTACCATTATAAGTCAGGCTAAACTGCACTGATCCTCATCTACCTAATTTTCCTGCATAATTGTTTCTGTTAACCAAAGGAGCAACTGTTGGATAATCAATGTGTGGCCGTGGATCCAGTCTTAGAGTCATACTTTGCGTAGACCTGTTGAAACCAATGGGACTTCTAGAGGGAAGATTTCTATGACATTTCACAATTTCTCTGAAGCCTACATTTGAACCCATAAACTAGTTCAAACATGTTTATGAGTAATCTGGCCTTTCTGATTACTCATAAACATCTCCAAACTCACTCATGAGCTCTAACATAGGTTGCTGGGGGAAAATATGACATGCCATAGAATTCCTTCCCCTAGATAACTATAGCTTGATTAAGGTTGCAATCTTAACTGGTCAAGATGGCTGCAGGCTGGCTGAGCTGACACTAAACCAACTGAGGTTCTGCTGAATTCAACCTGTTCCCCCAAGATAGACTTGTTCCAAATTACTTATGAGCACCTTGGCTGTTGCCTGGCATTGTATTGAGATGTGGGTATAAGTCTGGGCCGAGAGGGATTTGAATTTGGCATAACTCAGGTCTATTTCTCCAACTCTTTTTTTTTTTTTTGGCTCTTCTACTGATCTCAGTCAGCACATCAGTTATGCTAGCAGATTGATTTCTACTAGCAAATCTTAGTTCAATGGAAGTGACATAGCTAGCAACTTGAAATTACCGTGTTTTCCCGAAAATAAGACAGGGTCTTATATTAATTTTTGCTCCAGAAAACGCAGTAGGGCTTTTTCTTTTCAGGGGATGTTTTACTTTTTTTCACGTACAACAATCTACATTGATTCAAATACAGTCATGTCATCTTCTGGTTGCTGCACTATAGTGGAGGCACGGGGTTTCACTTAACTAGGGCTTATTTTAGGGGTAGGACTTATATGACGAGCATCCTGAAAAATCATACTAGGGCTTATTTTCAGGTTAGGTCTTATTTTTGGGGAAACGGTACTTTAATTAAAAGAACAAGCAAATGAGATACAGTACTACAGTGATTTTTGTACAGATCTTTGAAATAGCCAATTTTTGTGTAGCAAAGGTATGAAGACACAAATATTATGGTGTCAGGACATTAATAAGTTGTATTAAGTATTACAAAGGGATAGGGGAGTTAAACACACGGCTGCCATTCTTTTCCTCCTCACTGAAAACTTAACAAAGTATTGATATTGGCCAGGAGACCCTGTTTTTTCCCATGGATATAAAGGACTGGTAATTTAAACTCAAATTCTTCAAGCACATGAACTAAGGATTGCAACATTAGGATCAAACCTCATCGCATTTTTCACCTGTAAAATGCCAATAACCTGTCTGGGGGCAGTATCAACCCCCTTTTTTCACCACTTGGGACTTCCATATAACACTGCTTGTTCCTCCTCCTCAGTTTTCAAAACCAGAGTTTATCAGATGGCCTACCTTCAAGAGGGGAGAGAAATAGCTTTTAAAGGAAGAATCATACCCTTTGGAGATACCAGGAGTGTGAGTCTCCATTTCTGGCATGCAGGCCACAGGTTGCACAGTTCCCCTGCCCTAGCTGAATGCTATGCCTCCAACCATGCTTGCACATGAAGCATAATCTAAATTTGTCATAACGGGGACTGTTAATCACAAACAGCACATTTAAATTGTTTATAGGGACACGGCATACATGGAAGTCCCCATAAGATGGCACCAACATTATTATAAGGTACCTGTAGATTATGTTATATTGAAAAAGAAGTATTAAAAGTGTTGAATTAGTGATCATTTACTCCAGAGCTGACATAAATTAAGATCATAACTTTGCCTTTTGCTGTATTTTGCCTTAGATTAAATAAATTAAAAATACAAATAGTAAAACTATAAAAAATTAAACAACTAAATGATCCCACTGTAGTATTGTTGAGAAGCAGATTCATTCAGGCATCAGTAAGATAATAAATACAATTCACTTGGTAAAACTAGTTGTGATAAAGGGACAGCAGTATTAGTAGATGTGAGCAATAATAACCTCGGAAGCAGAAATGTAATTAGGGGGAAATGGTTTGACAGAATTAATGCCAGAAGTAATAGAAAAGAAATGAAAATGAAAAAAGGCCATGTCAAAGAATTACTCAAGAACATCTGAAACAAAATTGTAGGAGCCAAAAAAAGTGTTTGAAACAACTTAAAGAAAAGGACACCTAACGAAGATCTGAGTCTCTTATAATGTGCATAAGATCAAGGATGCAACAAGTATACTGAAAACTACAGCTGATGGATACTCAACCCAAGAATAATATCAGGGTGTGTAATTAATATTTTAAGTAGCTGATTGAAGATGACATATCAACACAGTTTATTATATCATATATTGATAATTGATAATTATGTGCCATCAAGTTGATTCTGACTTCCAGGGTTCCCTTGGAATAAAGGGCTCAGAAGTAGTTTAATTGCCTAAGGCTATATATACTGGCTCTTCTCCTGCGAGGCTCAGTGGAGCATCAAAATTCCAACCCTTGGTATTTCAACTCAAAGAGCTGTCCAACGAGATGTTAATAGCGACTGAAAGTACAGAAATTTGAATTATAGTGTCACTAGCAAAAACATCCAGTGCTTCTGCATTCAATGATGATTTCACAATTATTTAAAGTGGCAGAAGAAGACAACTTTAGTGAACCATTCCATTAAATTTATAGAAAAAGAAGAATTCTCAAAATTTGACTGAGACCTGTTTTTGTTATCTTACCCACAAAGGAAAATGCTAAAGCTTGCAGTAACCACAGAAAAATGTGTATTCGTGGCATTGCTTTGCAATCTGCAGTTTGAAGACATCTTTAGGTAAAGGTAAAAGTTCCCCTTGACATTTAGTCCAGTGATGTCCAACTCTAGGGTGCGGTGCTCATCCCCGTCTCCGAGCCTTACAGCCAGCGTTTGTCCATAGACAGTTTCCAAGTTCACATGGCGAGCGCGACTAGACACGGAACACCGTTAACTTCCCACCGTGGTGGTACCTATTTATCAACTCCCATTTACATGCTTTCAAACTGCTAGGTTGGCAGGACCTGGGACAAGCGACGGGAGTTCACTCCGTCGTGTGGATTCGATCTTACGACTGCTGGTCTTCTGACCTTGCTGCAGAGAGGCTTCTGCGATTTAACCCACAGCGCCATCACATCCTCCTTGCTATTGATATTATCGCTGTTGTGCATGAAGAGATGTACAGCAGGATTTCAGCCAATGATTCAAATGACAGTATTATTATAAATGGAGAAGTTATCAATAGCATCTGTTTTGTGAACAATACAACACTACTAGCTGACAATACATTATTTGTGAATAAATCAGGGAGCAAAATCCAGAAAATGTTGTTAGAATACCAAGTTCATGATAATCCATAAAAAAAGAAGCAATCAAATAAACATAAAGACCCCAAATGAAGGTGTGGAACATGTTGACAAATACAAGTACCTTGAAAAGCAGTCAAGAGAACTGTAGAGTCATCGCCATGCAATAAAGGAATAGACCAAGGTAAAGAATGCAATATGCAACAGAAGCTTGAAATTGGCTGTCAGAGTGTGCATTATACTGTGATACATATTCTCACTTATACAGACTAGCATAGAATTGTGGGTTTTAATACACAATATTATTTTTAAAAGTGGACGCATTTGAAATGTGGATTTATTGTAGGATACCAAAAATTTCCTGGATTGTGAAAGGATTACCAGCAGAGAAATTCTAGGATAAATAAATGAAGACCAAGAAATCATAAAAGCAATTAAATGTAGAAAGATAGGATGTTTTAGTTGTGTAATAAAAAACTAATAGTATAGATTTTTACAACTAATACTTCAAGATAAAATAGATGGAGGAAGAAAGAGAAGAAGCTGTTGGCTGAAGAACCCTTGAGACTGGTTTAAATATAACACAGCAACATTATTAGAAGTGCCACACCCAAAGTCAAAATAGTCATCAGGAAGTCCAGCCTTCTGTAGCAAGTAGGTGATGACTGTAAGATGTTATGAAGTTGTTAGACAGTATTGAATGTGCTATTCTGCCAGAGTAGTACATGCTTTCCAAAACATACTTCCTTAATTGGCTAAGATCTGTAACTGCTACTTCTTATTGTATTAAAACATAGATTGTTCTTTGCAGTCTTGGCATTGTTTCTTTCTTTATTAACAGGCTTGTCGCAGGTTTCGGGATGACGCAACTTGCAAAGAGTCTTGCCCATCTTTACATGTGTATAATCCTTTCACTTATCAGTTGGAAGAGAATCCAGATGGAAAATACAGCTTTGGAGCAACATGTGTAAAAAAGTGTCCACGTAAGTCTGCATTAATTGGGGGGGAAATAGTTTGCCTTGGGGAAAGAATCAGCTTCCTTTCGCTTTATATTTGGGAAATCGAAATTCATTCCTGGTTTGCTTCTAATAGAGAAGTCTCCAGCTGTTCATGCTCTAGAACAGTCATTCCTAAGCAGGATGCTGTGAGAAAAAAAATTATGTAGTGACTCTTTGATGTCCCAAAATGACCCCCATAGATAAGACCTGTGTGTCTGTACCATTCATTAGTCCAATCTTGGCTGTTCTAGTCGTAAGGTTAATGAGTAATTTTCTTGAATCTTTGCATCTGTTCTGTTTGGGTCATGAAATTATACATAGCCAAATTAGTGGGCTTGGACCCCATTGCATCACCTAGGCTTCCCTTCTTTCAGTATTACTCTAATTTACTGGGAAGCAAGAGGAAGTATGCTTCAGTTATCAAATATTTTGATCTGGAAGGAAACACTGATATTCTGCTTGTACATTAAGAGTGCAATCCTAATTACCGAAGATAGAGGAGGACCAGCTGAGCTGAGACAAGGGCAGCTGAGTCTGTGCTAAACCCAAATCCCTTCCCACTTGAGGATGTTGGAAATACAACATACAAGGGGTACACTTGCCATGGCCTCTGTGCTAGCATTAACAGCTGATTAGGTTTGGATCTGGCAGTAATTCACCTCTTCTACCCTTTCCCCTGCGCACACTCCTTTGGTCACTTTGGTGGACAGATATTAGCAGGCACAGCAGATGGGCATGTAGATCTCTGATCTCCCTGCAGAAGGGGCCAGCAGAACAGAATTTCTGGTGCCAGAAAAGACTTTCCCTATTCTGAACTCCATTCAGCCAGCTGATCTTTGAGTTAGGATTGCATGCTTTTGTTGTTGTTGTTGTTTAGTTGTTAAGTCGTGTCCAACTCCTTGTGACGCCATGGACCAGAGCACATCAGGCCCTCCACATTTAATCACATTTTAACTTGCTTTTGAAATATACCATAGAAAATATTTTAGTGGATGCTAAAAAGAATCTACTTCTGTTTTATTGCTTTCACTGATTTTCCTTGTTCAGTTATACAGAGGTGGTGGTTTGAGTATCTATCATTTTAAGTATTGTCACCAGCTTTGTATCCACCAGGATGGAAGGGTGGTTTTATTATCTGAATTCAAATAATCTTCTGGTCAAGCTGCCAGTGATTCTGTTCTTCCATTTGGAGATAATGCGTCCTTTTACAAATTCTTTTTATTTATTTTTTTATATTATGTCATAAAAAACACAGAAAAGAAGACAGGGGAGATACTTTTCAATTACTTGAAAAGTAATACAGAGGAAGGGCAGGATCTGTTCTCCATCATCCTAGCGTGCTGGACATATAATAATGGCCTCAAACTATAGGAAGCCAGATTTTGGTAGAATATCAGGAAAAAACTCTTAACTGTTAGAGCAATATGACAACAGAACCATCTACCTCAGAAGGTGGTGAGTGCTCCAGTACTGGAGGCATTCAAGAGAAAATTGGACGACCATCTGGCAGATGTGCTTTGATTTGTATTTCTGCGTTGAGCATTGGGTTTAACTCGATGGCCTTTTAGGCCCTTTCCAGCTCAGTTGTTCTATGATTCTATATAATCTTGGTTAGTTTGTGGTTCTTCCCTTGTTCTGATTTTGTTGTTATGCATGTGAACTATTTTTGTACACTTCTGTTTTTTTTAATTGGGGGGATCAATGTTATCAGTTATTTAAATACTGAAATCCTGTTTAATAAACTATGCCACATAAGGCTGATGCCCAGTGATTGTTCCAAAATAAAATATTTCCAATTCCCACCGAACAGCCCTGAGGCTCCTGGTGAATTCTTTTCATTGTTGGGATGATGTTGGGGACTGCAGAATGACAGGGGGGATCTTTAATTATCAAAATTGCTGCCCCAGATAAAATAATCCCATCAGTGGTGATTTTTGGTAATCAAAAAGTCGCTGTCCCACAGCCCCCAACAGTTATCTGACAAAAGATTACGTGGGAGCCTTGGAAACTTCAGGAGAAATGAAATATGTTTTATTTCTAAAAAAAATGCATCATTGGCCTTACATGGCATAACTTACAGAACAGGATTTCAGCCTTTATCTCCTACCTACAATGACTTCTTTATGTCATTATTGTTTTCAACTCCCTTCCTGTCTTTTCTAGATAACTATGCTGTGACAGACTATGGATCATGTGTCCGGTCTTGTGGTGCAAATTCTACTGAAGTGGAGCAAAATGGCATCCGGAGGTGTAAAAAATGTGAAGGGCCATGTAGCAAAGGTGTGTAAATTACAGGATTACTTGCAATACCTTTCCATTGTGACACCAGTTTCTACCAAATTGAAGTGTAATTCTGCCCAAAATTCATCATCCTATTGATCATAGTAGATATTAATACTGTTGTGTAACCCAACGACATAGGCAACATTAGGGCCTAAAAATCTAGCCATGTCCTTTTGTGTTTCTATTTTCATTTTGTTGTTTAGTCGTTAAGTTGTGTCCGACTCTTCATGACCCCATGAACCAGAGCACGCCAGGCCCTCCTGTCTTCCACTGCCTCCCAGAGTTGGGTCAAATTCATGTTGGTTGCTTCGAAGACACTGTTCAACCATCTCGTCCTCTGTCGTCCCCTTCTCCTCTTGCCTTCACACTTTCCCAACATCAGAGGCTTTTCCAGGGAGTCTCTTCTTCTCATGAGATGGCCAAAGTATTGGAGCCTCAGCTTCAGGATCTGTCCTTCCAGTGAGCTCTATTTTCATAGAGGCCAATTATTTTCAAATATTGTACATGACCATTTCACTATTTCTTACCATTTCCTTGACTGTCCCTCCTTCCAGCATGTATAACAAAAACAGACAGGCACAGAAAGTCTTGTGGTAGCTTTGTGTCTTCTTTGTTGCTCTCTTTTGTTTTGCGTTTGTTATACATTCTGAAACAGGCTAACACAGGTACTTTTCAGAAAAACCATTTTAGCAAAACATTATCTTTAAAAGAAGACACATTGAATTGTGCATAGATATAGATATTACCCCTCTTATCAATGGACTAATCATTATCATTTGAAATACATGATGGTACAGCATGGCACAAAATATGAAAACTGTGATGCTGAGTACAGTGATGCCTCGTATAACGAGTGCACCGTTGAACGATGAATCCACATTGCGATGCGGATTTCCCCATCGCTAATGCGAGGGCACGCTCGCATCACGATGGGGGAACAGCTGTTCTGCAGCTCCAAAATGGCCGCCGGAACACAAAAAATGGCTGCTGGTACACCCAAGATGGCTGCCGGAACAAAAAATGGCCGCTGGAACACCCAAGATGGCCACCGGAACAAAAAAATGGCCACTGGTACACCCAAGATGGCCGCCAGAACACAAAAAATGGGCACTGGTACACCCAAAATGGCCGCCGGGATGCTCAAAATGGCCGCTGGTACAACCAAGAGGGCCGCCAGAACAAGGGAAAACATCGGAGGACGGTGAGTTTTGGGTCCATTTGGAACCAATTGGGGTTTTTGATCCGTTTTACGATGTTTTCCCATAGTGAAGGTTAATCCGGAACGGATTAACCTCACTATGCGGGGCACCACTGTATATAGTTCTTGCACTCCTTGAAGATCGGGTACCCACAGCACCTCTTTTTCTGTATGTTCATCAGTGCGCCCTTTATAGACCATAATCATGTTGCTTAATGCAGTGCAATGGTTGTCAACCTTGGATAACCCAAGGTGTTCTTGGACTGCAATTCCCAGAAGTCTTCACCAGCAGCTGTGTTTCTAGGGAGTGCAGTCAAAGAATGCCTAGGTTGCCCAAGGTTGGGAGCCACTGATGTAGTAAATTACACTGGAGGAGACCCATTGAATCAGTAAGGATTTGGTGAGTCAGCTCTTCAGTAAGTTCCATGAATTCAAATGGGTCTCTGTAACTGGGACATACTTTAGCATAGTAAGTTAAAGTTAAAGTAGGCCCATTTGAATTGATTGAACTTATGGAGAAGTTCACTCACTAAATCCTCATTGATTCAGTGGGCCTGCTCTAGTGAGATTTACAATGGTAAGCAACAGACTTTTTGCCATAATGTATAACATCCAGATGTTTCCCTCTGTGACTGAAAGACCAAGTTGCTTCAATGCAAAATGTTCTTGTCTTCATCAAACAAACCATTATCTAAAAGTGGGGCAGAACTCATAGCTAATGTGGGCTGTGACTAAAAACAAAGGTTTTTTTAAAGAGGTTCCCAGTTGTGGGACCTTTTTATTAGGACTCTTGGATGGCACCTGGTTCAGTAACTTCTAGGTGTCAGATATTTCCTTGAGCTTTCAACAAGTAGTATATATATTACTTACAATAAAAACGGCTTGGATCCCACCCGCCGCCGGTTACTTCCAGGCGTCCGAGCACACCTGGGGTAGGTGGCACGGGGCGGCTGCCGGCGGCGGGAACAGAGTAGGGCTGTCCCGAAGGCTTCCAGGCTGCCGCTGCTGCCGCTTGAGCCCACCGCCCAGCTGGGGGGAAAGGCCAGCCGGCGCTTGGGAAGGAGAGTGGAGAAGGTCCCCGCACTCCTTCCCAAGAGCCCGCCGCCCAGCTGGGGGGAAGGCCGGCGGCGCTTGGGAAGGAGGGTGGAGGAGGTCCCCGCACTCCTTCCCAAGAGCCCGCCGCCCAGCTGATCGGCAGTTCCAAAATGGCCACCCGTTTCGCGCCTCGCTTACCGAGGCAGCGAAAATGGCAGCCCTATGGAGGATCTTCGCTGAACGGTGAGTTTTTGCCCCCTAGGAACGAATTAAACAGGGTTTAATGCATTCCTATGGGGTTTTTTGTTCCGTTCAGTGATGTTTCCGTATAGCGACGTTAATCCTGGAACGGATTAACGTCGCTATGTGGGGCACCACTGTAATACCGTGATTAAATAGTGTATAACACTGTCCAGATTGATTACACAGGCAGCACTTAACTACAGTGATGTATTTATTTGCATGGGGGTATGTACTATTGAAATCAGATCTTGCACAGGATTTTTCTGTTAAAAATAATTATAGAGGTATGGGAACAAAGAATATAATTGATTTCAGTTTTTGGAACTCTCCCCAAGTAATTCATGTCATTTTGGACTACATCAGGAATTACATTTTACCGTCTGACCTCACATTAGAGTATATGTAGTAGTATAATTTGGACACTGTAGTTGTAGAAGAATATTTGGGCAATTACGAACAGAAAGTTAACAAAAATCTGTCAGTGGAAAAGTCTAGCTCAGTGGTTCCCAAACTTGTGTAACCCAGGTGTTCTTGGACCGCAAATCCCAGAAACCCCAGCCATCACAGCTAGTGATGAAGACTTCTGGAAGTTGCAGTCCAAGAACAACCTTACTCAAGTTTGGAAATCACTGGTCTAGATCCACCATCTGTGTCAGGACATAGTAAATGTACTAAACCCACTATAGTAAATAAACCCATCTGTGCTAATGTAGTAAAATACTGAGAGGGAAGGCCTGATAATTATCAGGAAAACAAAGCTTATTTTCCAGGGATTGTAATGATTAATAGCATAATAATATGAATTCCTATGCTCTACCAAGAAGAATTTAAAGGAATATAGTATTATAATTTTACTTAAATGGGCTAGATGTTGTTTGTATCTGGTTTATATCTACCTAACTCGTTATGATGATTCTGCTTACGGTAAAGTGTTAATCAATGTACTAAATATAGCATAAATGCAAAATTATGTGTGATCAAGATCCTTTTTTGTGTACACAGTCAGTTATTCCCATCCCTCTTTCCCCTCAAGAACTGGCTGTTACGATTATGAGACACTATTTTGTTTTGTTTGTTTGTTGGTAAGATTGAAATAATTACTGGAGCTGGAAGATCCTAATTTGGTGTCTTTTTTTCCCCTTTTAACCAGTGTGCAGTGGGATTGGAACTGGTGAACTAAAAGGTGCTCTTGCTGTCAATGCTTCCAATATTGATTATTTCAAGAACTGCACCACCATCAATGGAGATCTCCTATTCCTCAAAGTAACATTTTCAGGGTAGGTGTAATTGGGTGGAGAGATAAAACATTAATACGATTGTTTTTTAAATAAGGAACCAAAGATTCAGTTGTTCTCTTTCTTCTAGGGATGAGTACACAAGGACACCTCCCTTGGATCTCTTGAAATTGAACATTTTTAAAACTGTTAAAGAAATCACAGGTTAGTGATATTTCCTCCCTTTCCTCATAAGAACGTAAGAATGTAAGAAGAGCCCTGCTAGATCAGGCCAAGGGCCCATCTCATCCAGCTTTCTGTATCTCACAGTGGCCCCACCAGGTGCCTCTGGGAGCACACAAGACAACTCGATGCCTGTCTCCTGATACCCCTCTCCCCTGCATCTGGCATTTTGCGGTACCTTCCTTCTAAGCCTGGAGATTATATATCCCTATGATGGTTTGTAACCTGTGATGGACTTTTCCTCCAGATATTTGACCAATCCCCTTTTAAAGGCATCTAGGCCAGATGCAATCACTACACCCTGTGGCAAGGAGTTCCACAGACTAACAACATGCTGGATAAAGAAATATTTGTCTGTTCTCACTCTTCCAGCACTCAATTTCAGTGGATGTCCCCTGGTTCTAGTATTGCAATGAGATATATCCACTTTATCCATCCCCTTCATAATTTTATACATCTCAATCATGTCCCCCCCCAGGCACCTTTTCTCTAGACTAAAGATCCCCAAACACTGTAGCCTTTCCTCATAAGGGAGGTGCTCCAGCCCAGTCATCAATTTAGTCGCTCTCTTATGCACCTTTTCCAGTTCCACAATGTCTTTTTTCAGGTGTGTCAGCCAGAACTGTATGCAATACTCCAGGTGCGGCCTTATCAGCGTTTTGTACAATAGCATTATAATATTGGCTGTTTTATTTTCAGTCCCTTTTTTAATGATACCTAGCATGGAATTGGCCTTCTTCATTGCCGCCACACACTGGGTTGACTCTTTCATTGAGATGTCCACCAGCACACTAAGATTTTTTTCCTGATCAGTCACAGACAACTCAGAACCCATTTTGTTGTTTAGTCATTAAGTCATGTCCAACTCTTCGTGACCCCATGGACCACAGCACTCTAGGGTCTTCTGTCTTCCATTAGAACCCATTAGCTGATAACTAAAGTTTTGATTTTTTGCCCCAATGTGCATTACCTTACATTTTCTTATACTGAAATGCATTTGCCATTTTACTGCCCATTCTCCCAGTTTGGAGAGATCCTTCTGGAGCTCTTCACAATCCCTTCTGGTCTTCACCACCCTTCCTTCCATCCTTCTTTCCATCCATCCATCCATCCATCCAAGCTGAAAGTTAAACCCAAGATTAGACCTACTGAAATTGTTGTGACATGATGGCATTTTTTTCATAATATTTATTTTTTATGTATTTTCATAGAAATTATATAAATAACAATAGAAGTGAAGAGAAGTCAAGCAAAGGGTAGCTTAGTATGCTTAGGGTTTTGAGAGCTCTTCTCTTCAACAGTGACAGAAGTTGGCAAGCCTAATTGGTGCCCCAACCTGCTTTTGAAACAAATGTGATTATTAAATTTTGTTTTGTTTTGTTTTTTTCCTTCCTTTCACATCTTCTATATTTTTAAAAGGACTTTCTCTGGTGGGAAAAATAATTACAAAGTAAGATCTACTGAAATGTACAAATTTCCAAAAGACAATCTGACATTTCTGTGGTGTCTAAAGCTTTTCAGGTCTGTAAGCACCAGTCCTCATACTGTTTAACTGCTTTGATGGCCCAAATATAAACTGTTTATGAAGCAATGTTAAAAATACGTCTATTCCGAAATGTCATTCTTCATTTTGATGTTCTCATAAAATCAAGAAAGCTAAAGGCATTCCTGCTTGACAAAAATATATATAATACTTTGTAAATGTTTTTATTCTATTTTGTTCTCTTCCAGGGTTCTTGTTGATTCAGGTTTGGCCTGAAAATATCACTGATTTGTATCCTTTTGAAAATCTAGAAGTCATACGAGGGAGAACAAAACATATGTAAGTTTCCAAAAAACTGTATCTTTGCATATAGTGGAGTTATAGTCAGAAAGAAAACCGTATATCAGTGGTCACCAAACTTTTTAACCTCCACAGACCGGTTGGGGAAGGCGGGGCACCACTCTGCGCTCATGCACGAAGGAGGATGCACTCTCTTGTGCGGTTGCGCTCACATGGGTGCAGTTGCACTCGTGCAAATGTGTGAAGAGCGGGGTGACACCCATGCAGGTGTGCACGCCCTTGTGCACATGCATGAAGGGCGGGGTGGCACTAAAGGGTACTTGTGCACATGCGTGAAGGGGTGGGGGAGTGCTTGCGCTGGCACAGACATGTGTGTGCATGCGCAAAGAGGCTGTGCGGGGGGAGTGCGTGTGGGGGTAGAGGGGGAGGTCTGTCTCCGCGGCCCAGACTGTGAACCAGGGCTTGGGGACCCCTGCCATATATAATTGAAGAATGGGCAGTGACTTATGACTAAATTACCCGTGAGAGGCTAAACATTAGTGTAGTAACATTACTACAATTTCCTTTTTTCTTTAAGTTGTTACTGGGGACAGGACAGGATATAAGATATGAGCAGTGATCTTTTCAGTGTGAATCCCAGTAGCCTCAAACCAAAGTTTCTGTTCAGGTTAGTGTAGAATAATTGAATTGGAAGGTTTCTATAAAACCACCGAGTCTATCCCCTTCCTCAGTGCGGGAATTCAGCTCCAAGCAGCTCTGCCAGAGGGTTGTCCAATTTTCTCTTGAATGCCTCCAGCATTGGAGCTCTCACCGCCTCTCAAGGAAACTGCTTCTGTTATCACACTGTGGTAACAGTTAAGAAGTTTTTCCTGATAGGCAACCTAAATCTTGGTTCCTGTATCTTATGGCCATTATTATGTGTCCTGCACTCTGGGATGATTAGGAACAGAATATACTCCTCCACTCTATGACTAAATTTAAAGTGTTTGAAAAGTGTTATTATTTTTCTCCTCAGGCTTTTTTTCTAAACGCTAAGCATGCCCAGTTCATTCAGTGTTTTTTCATAGGGCTTGGTTTCCAGTCCCCTGATCATCCTTGTTGCCCTCCTCTGAACTTGCTCCAGTTTGTGGACATCCTTCTTAAAGTGCAGCGTCGAGAACTAGACACAGTATTCAAGATGAGGTCTAACCAGTGCTTAATACAGGACTAGTACCTCGTGGGATGCACGCACTGGAGTCAAATGTGGCCTTTTCTGTCTCGGAAGTGCCGTGATGAGGAAACTGCACCTAGCCAGATTTTTCCTTCTGTGAACTCTTGAAGGAGATCTTGCAAGTTCTGGGCCTGGAATTATTGTATTTTTATTTATGTATTTTTTCTATTTGAAATAGATCAGACTGTTTTTGATGTTTTACAATTATTTTACTCCAAACTATTTTTATCTATGAATAATCAAGAGAATTTTTCTCCTCTTTTAACTGTACAGTATTTATTATATTATAATCCTCACTCCACTTTATGATTTTTTATTTTCGCCCCTATGTATTAATGTTGCTATTTGCTATTTTGTTACTTTGTTGTTATTTGTTATTTGTTGTAAACGGCCCAGAATGGCCTTGGCTGCCAGAAGGGAGGAATATAAATCAAATAAATAAATAAAATAAAATAAGTAAGTAAGAAAAATACAATTATGTGAAAAAAAATTCCCCTACTTGTTTCTTCTTACGTTTTCCTTCTTCTCATTTTAGAGGTCGATATGCTCTTGCTATCACAAACCTAAATATAAGTTCTTTGGGATTGCGCTCGCTCAGAGAAATAAGTGATGGAGATGTTGGCATTTTGAGAAATGAACACCTGTGCTTTGATAATACAGTCGATTGGAGAAAACTTTTTGTAACAGAAAACCAGAAAACAAAAATTTCCAAAAATGGAAATGAAAGCATATGTAGTAAGTTAATAGAGTCATAACACTCATAATAAGTGGTATATTTGGTGGGGGCGGGAAGACTACTTTACATAGTTGTGTTTATTGTTGATCAGCCACATTTTCTTCATACTATGCATGCTGTGGTACAACCACATCAGATTTCATTTAAGCATATTGTTTTTCCTTCTGTTTGAATTTTATTGTAGGTCTCATAATCCTATTGAGCTTTAACACCTGACACAGCAGGATGTAAAGATCACTTTCTCCCTTGTAAACTGTCTTTTGGGATTACTTGCCGAGGCCCTGTTCTGATGCTTCTTCCTTCAGAAGTTAGGCAGGTCACAGCCAGAGAACCTTTTCTGTGATGTTTCCTAGTCATAAAATATCACAGGAATATGCATTATGACAGTCTTACTGACTTCTGGTGCCAGGATCAAGATAATATTATCCCTCTGCATTTTTAAAGTTTTATGTGCTTTTTGCTGCTGATATTTGCTTTTACTCCTGCTTTGTTTATAAGGATTCAATTTTTATACATTCATTTTGATTGTTGTTATTCTTGTTTGGCTGATTTTATATTTTCCTTATTTATCCTGATGGATTACCCCAGACATTATGGTGGTAGCCTCTGGAATCTGCACACTGAGCCCTTCTGCTCCTGTGGGACTCCATTAACTTTTTCCCCCTCTTTGCTCTTCCATTTCATAGTATCTTTCTGTTCCTGAGATTGTCATATATACAGTAAAGCTGTGACTAAGTATGGTTGATAATACAGGTCTTCTAAGAAGACATTCTGGTTGGTTGGTTGGTTGGTTTGTGTTGTTTGTTTGTTTGATTGATTGATTCTCATCAGATCTCAGAGACGTTCCTATCTACATCGCAAATACACTGTTAAAACTACAGATTTCTAAACTCAAAAATCTAAACTTACAAAGTGCTCATGTGTAAAGTCAACAATTACAAATGTTTCATAAAATACAACAAAAGCAGTACAAAGACAAATTACATACTTGTTTGTTCCTTGAAAGCTTATGTAGTTAGATGTGGGGGATGACCAGATACAGTCAACCCTCGACTTACAAACTTAATCCATTCCAGAAGGACGTTCGTAAGTTGAAAAGTTCGTAACTTGAATCCAAGTTTGCAAGTAAAGGGAATATTTCCCTATCAGAGTGGTTTGTATGTCGAAATGTTTGTAAATAGGGCCGTTCGTAAGTCGAGGGTTGACTGTATCTGATGGAAGAACATTCTGATGCCATCAAAGGGGAAAAAAGTTACTTCTGGTAGCCCTATAGTCTACTGCTCTGAATCACCAGAAGCAGAGATTTTCTGGTTTTAAACCCTAGATGGGTGGATATAGTATCAGATGGTACATTAACTACTTGGATCCTGAACAAATTATAGCTTTGTAGGCTACTATTAATACATTCAGGTTGACCCTTTGTCTCACTGATAGCCTATGCCTGTTGCCAAATACATGGTCTTCCAAATCACTTTCTGCCAGGCACTTATTTTCCTTGCAAAGCACAGAGTCTATGACCTCTCCACGTGTCCAAATCTCTCAGCTTCACTCCCCTCAAGTCAGTCATATGGAAGAAATGCAGCCCCTGCTTTGAAAGGCTTTGGAGCTTTACTTCAACTAGAGTTGAAGACTGTGAAGAGCAAGGGGTACTGCTATGTTGATAACTTGCATATCAAAGGGAGCAACTGTGTGAGAGTGGTTGCTTCTGGTTTGACGTAGGAAGAATGAATAATTCCTAGTCCAGTGATTTCATTAATTTTAGCTTTTTTTAAAAAAGAAATATCATTGGAGATTAAATCATGCATCCCAGCCAATGTAGACTCCATTTTTGAAATTTTTAATACCATAGTATATGTTTTTAAATTTTTATCTCTTTCCTAGCTGCTACAGGACAGGTTTGTCATCTGTTCTGCTCTGACACAGGCTGCTGGGGTCCAGGGCCCTCTCAGTGTTATTCCTGTCGAAACTTCACACGCCAACGGGAATGTGTCAAGGAGTGCAGTATTTTTCAAGGGTAAGATTGTTCTATTCAAACAAAATTCAAGAATCCCAGTCTATAGTTGTGTATAGTTACAATGAGATTGATTGATTGATTGATTGATTGATTGATTGATTGATTGATTGATTGATTGATTGATTGATTGATTGATTGCATTTGTATCTCGCCCTCATTAGTGCTGAGGCACTACTCTGGGTGGTTACAACAAATATAAAAGATGATAAATAAGATAAAAAAAACTTTAAAAAGGTAAAGGTAAAGGTTCCCCTTGACATTTTTAGTCCAGTCGTGTCCGACTCTAGGGGGCAGTGCTCATCCCGTTTTCAAGCCGTAGAGCCAGCTCTTGTCCGAAGACACTTTCCATTGCCACATGGCCAGCATGACTAGGGAATGCCATTTTACCTTCCCACTGAGGTGTTACCTATTTATCTACTTGCATTTGCATGCTTTCGAACTACTAGGTTGGCGAGGAGCTGGGACAAAGCGACAGGAGCTCACTCCGCCGTGTGGACTCAATCTTATGACTGCTGGTCTTCTGCACAGGCTTCTGCGGTTTAGCCCACAGTGCCACCACGCCCCATAAAACACTAAAAGCAAAATGCAAATAACCATAAAAGCAGATGCCGCAAAACAATCATAGGAATCAAAGCAGATGGAAGGAAAAAGGGAAAGGTGATCAGCCAGAATCAGTGTGGAAAGCATCCCTGTAAAGCCAGGTCTTCAGTTGCCTCCTAAATATCAGCAGGGGGGTGGGGCTAGGCAGAGCTCCTTTGGAAGTTTCTACAAGGTTGAGCCACCGCAAAGAAGACCCTACAAGGGATGCCTACCTGGAGGAGTCTCGATTGACATGACCTTCTGGATCAGGCAGATGACATTAATAAAAGACAATTGTTGGAGGCCAAAACCATGGAGGGCTTTGTACATGAGTGTCAAAACAGTGAACCTGATCCAGGAGGTAACGGGCAACCAGTGAAGGCGAGCTAGAAGTACTGTATATGCAACCAAGCACACAGTTGTTCTTTACATTATGTAACCCCACTTCAAAAGGTGAACACCAGGCAAAAAATCTCAGCTACTTGTAATGATAATTCAGGTTGTGCAGTAACCTTCCTTCTAGATTCCACTACAAATTGTCTCATCTTACATGCTACCTTTTTTCTAGCAATGTTCACCTTTGCTGGGTCAAGGGCCCTCCACCACTTCATCCTATCGAGCCAGTTTAACCACACTTTACCATAATAAATTTTTAAGGCTAGTGATATGCATGAGCCCCCTTTCAAGAAGAAGAATCTCAAAATGGCAGAACAGATCTGTGGATATTCTTGATGACATGCGTTTTCGCGCGCTCCCCTTGCTTACCAAGGGCGCGAAAACGCTGCGCCCCGGCCCCTTTCGGCTGTTCCGGCGGCCATTTTTTACCCGCCGAACAGCTGATGGCAGCCATTTTGGCGCCCTCGTTCTGCGAGGGGAGGGCGCTAAAATGGCTGCCGCCTATGGAGGAACTTCGCTGAACGGTGAGTTTGAAAGCCATAGGAACGCATTGAACAAAGTTCAATGCGTTTCTATGGCTTTTTCCCTCCCGCACAGCGATGTTTCCCACAGCAAAGGTTAATCCGGAATGGATTAACCTCGCTGTGTGGGGCACCACTGTATATGGAAGTCAGGGCCTTGAGTCTGCAGCAGTTGAGCAGGGCTATTAATGAGAGGGTATTTTGGAGTTCACAGGGTTTCTCTCATTCACAGGGTTGGCATAAATCAGGTGACTTGACAGCAGAAAACAACTGCTTCCAATATTAATTGTATCAGTGAATAATTGTATCTATGAGATACCCCAGTGGAGGGCAACTCTGGCTTTAACGGACAAAATCAGCATCTTGAACTCTATGAAAATTAGGTGGAAGCCAAGTATTATGCAGAAGCATATGGGACAGTGTGGCTGAGTGGCTATCAATGGATCTGGACAAGCAGAGAGTAAGTTGTACTGAACTTTCTTTCTTTCTTTCTTTCTTTCTTTCTTTCTTTCTTTCTTATTGATTTCAAAATGGCCTTCACACAATATCTTTTAAATGCCAGAAAGACTGTTTTCAGCCCTACTTCTAAAAAGAATAGAATTACTATATTGACAGCATACAGTAATGCAGGGATTGGCCTTTTTGCCAGTTTAGGTGTGTGGAAGTCAGGATTACATCAAAATAGAGTGAGTTTACCTAGAGATTGAATAGAAGTGGAACTAAGATCCATTCCTCTTTCACTCCTCTTCTGTCTGGCACTGTATGGGTTAAATGGCCTTGTGTATTGCACAACTGGAGATATTAAAGGAACATTTTGTGCAAAGATGGGCATTATAAAGGAAAAAATGGTAGGGACCTCACAGAAGCAGAAGACATCAAGAAGAGGTGGTATGAATACACAGAGGAATTATACCAGAAAGATCTGGATGTCCCGGGCAACCCAGATAGTGTGGTTGCTGACCTTGAGCCAGACATCCTGGAGAGTGAAGTCAAGTGGGCCTTAGAAAGCATGGTTAACATCAAGGCCAGTGGAGGGGATGGCATTCCAATTGAACTATTTAAAATCTTAAAAGATGACGCTGTTAAGGAGCTACACTCAATATGCCAGCAAGTATGGAAGACTCAGCAGAGGCCAGAGGACTGGAAAAGATCAGTCAACATCCCAATCCCAAAGAAGGGCAGTGCCAAAGAATGCTCCAACTACTGTACATTTCACACACTAGCAAGGTTATGCTCAAAATCCTCCAAGGTAGGCTTCAGCAGTATGTGGACGAGAACTTCCAGAAGTACAAGCTGGATTTAGAAGGGGCAGAGAAACTAGAGACCAAATAGCTAATATGCACTGGATTATGGAGAAAGCCAGAGAGTTCCAGAAAAACATCTACTTCTGCTTCATTGACTACACAAAAGCTTTTGACTGTGTGGACCACAATGAACTATGGCAGGTCCTTAAAGAAATGGGAGTGCTTGACCACCTTATCTATCTCCTGAGAAATCTATATGTGGGAGAGGAAGAAACAGTTAGAACTGGATATGGAACAACTGATTGGTTCAAAATTTGGAAAGGAATACGAAAAGGCTGTATATTGTCCCCCAGCTTATTTAACTTATATGCAGAATACATCATGTGAAAGGCTGGACTGGTGGAATCACAAGATGGAATTAAGATTGCCGGAAGAAATATCAACAACCTCCGATATGCAGATGATACCACTCTGATGGCAGAAAGTGAGGCAGAATTAAAGAACCTCTTAATAAGGGTGAAAGAGGAGAGCACAAAAAATGGTCTGAAGCTCAACAGCAAAAAAACTAAGATCATGGCCACTGGTCCCATCACTTCCTGGCAAATAGAAGGGGAAGATATGGAGGCAGTGACAGATTTTACTTTCTTGGGCTCTATGATCACTGCAGACGGTGACAGCAGCCACAAAATTAAAAGACACCTGCTTCTTGGGAGGAAAGAGATGACAAACCTAGACAGTATCCTAAAATGCAGAGACATCACCTTGCTAACAAAGGTCCACATAGTCAAAGCTATGGTTTTCCCAGTAGCGATGCATGGAAGTGAGAACTAGACCATAAAGAAGGCTGACTGCCGAAGAACTGATGCTTTTCAATTTTGGTGCTGGAGGAGGCTCTAGAGAGTCCCCTGGACTTCAAAGAGAACAAACCTATCCATTTTGCATGAAATCAATCCCGAGTGCTCACTGGAAGAACAGATCCTGAAACTAAGGCTCCAATTCTTTGGCCATCTCATGAGAAGAGAAGACTCCTTGGAAAAGACCCTGATGTTGGGAAAGTGTGAATGCAAGAGAAGGGGAGGAGAGAGGACGAGATGATTGGACAGTATCACTGAAGCTACCAACATGAATTTGACCCAACTCTGGGAGGCAGTGGAAGACAGGAGGACCCTGGGGTGCTCTGGTCCATTGGGTCACAAAGGATCGGAGACGACTTAACGATTAAACAAACCAAAAAAATTGCATCTGACTCTAAAGACATTATCATATAGTGTTCAGATGACTAAATAAAAAGACTGCAATCCACAGAGAAGCCTTTGAATTTGGCCCACAGTTTGTCTGATGAATGCTGTCAAAGACTGATTGGAAGCAGAGATAAGGATGACCCACAAACCACCAATTGCCTCCCAGTGGCCTGATGAACCACGAACCAGTTCATCAGTTCAGTGGGTCTTTTTTTAAAGAAAGTCTATGGGGCTATATAGAGAAAAAGAAAGAAAGCTCCCCGTCCCCACAGCCTGCCCCCACCCCCTTCCCACTGTCGCTTACCTGGCCAGGCTGCATACTTCTGCTCCGTGGTGCCTTCCACCAAAACAGACGCTGGACTGCTGGAACCATGATTTCAGTTCCAGCAACTTAGCTTTTGCTAAGAGCAGCCTTGAGGCGATTTCCCCTGCTGTCAGACAGTGGGGTGGGGACCACTTCAGTCAGTTTTCTGGGCAGGGATAGAAAAAGAATGAAGTGGGACCGAACCGATCCCCAACCCTGCTGTCTTTGCAAAGACAGTGGGGTGGGGGATCACTTTCATCAGGCTTTCTCCTTCTTCTCAGTTACCTTCTATTTCTATGCCAGCCCGGTCATAGAAAGACAGGGGAAGGCTGATTCAAGTGACCTCCCACCCTGCTGCCTTTGGAACGACAGGGTCCCACTTGCCTTGTCTTTCTATGCCCACCCAGGCATAGAAGGATGGGGAAAGCCTGATCAAGGCAATCCCCCACCCTACTATCTTTCTACGCCCAGGCATAGAAAGATGGGGGAAGCTTGACTGAAGTGATTCCCCCCTTGCTGTTTGCAAAGACAGCGGGGAGAAGTCCTTTGGTCAGGCTTCCCGTCTATGCCACAGATGCATAGAAAGCTGGGAAAGCCTGAGCAAAGCACTCCCCCCATCTTTGTAAACGGGGGGTGGGTGGGGTGGGATTCCCTTCAGGAAGGCCTGCCTCTGAGGAAGAGCTGATCCGCGGGGGCATAAGCAGGTAGGGATAGA